TTATGTAGGAAAGATCTCCTAATTTTATCCCATTTATTTTCTTTGATCGGTAGGTCCAGCTCCAAGTATTCTAATTAAGATGATAGGTGGAGATACAGAATTTCTTTTGGTGGCATTACATTCACACATGAGAGGCCTCACTTGAAGTGCAATTATCAAGCAGTTAAAATGCATGCACAGAGCTGCTTTTACTACTGACCTTCTCCATGCAGAGCAGGAGAAATATATGTAAATGAGTGGCAGCTGTTGCCTTCCAGGTAGTAAATCCATTCTGGGTTTTTTACTTTGATTTTTAAAGGAGCAAGCCAAGGAACTGAACCTGTTTGGGTCCTATATTCTTTAATATTTGAACTAAACCCATGAATGGATTCATTTCTGGCTGCTACTGCCTTCCAAGATACAGCAGTATTATGGGGAGGGGGTCTAGTTGCAAGCTCATGTTTTTATTATGTGTTTTCTGTACATTTAAAGAAAAGTTATTAATTCTGAATTTCCTAGCTTTGCTTTGTGGTGCTTGAGCAGTGCAAAGGAGTGTAGAACTTTTGCCATTCTCACAATTTACATCTTGGACATGGTTTATAAATCCTCTTTACTATCTATTCTCTTACTCTTGTAGGATCTTATTATAATGAAAATGCCAGTAGGCACAACCAATAATGGGGGCACCGGCTCCAACTGAGTGCACAGCTCTATTGCAGTTTTTCAGAGATGATTGATTTGGGTGCTGCTGTTGAATTTATGCCAGTAATTGTAATTGTGTATGAGTTTATCTAGGCTACAGTTATGCCTTGTCAGTTACAAGCTGATAATGAAAAGCTAATTTATGTTTTAAACCAAGCTGGGTTATGTACTTATCATGAAATTGCATTTATTCTAATGCATGTACAATTTTTCATTTTTCATTCTATGTAGTATGTTAATGTTTGGTCCAGACTAAACACTCTGCTAATGGTTAATGATCTGACATGACTTGGAAAAATATTATTTAGGATTATAGCTTCTTGCATCCCCTAGCTGTCATGGGATTTTGGGAGTTGTAGTTTGTAGCACCCCCAAAAAGTAACCCTGAGACTTGCAGCCTGATAAAGTAATGGAGGGCTTTTAGTCAAACATAATAAGACTTTGGCCATACTGGTTGGGAGTTGTAGTTCAAATAAATAAGCTCTTCAGACTCTGCAATCTCATATAACTATAAGAAGAGCCCTGCTAGGTCAGATCACAGGTTCATGTAGTCTACCAGTTTGCCTCCCATAGTGGCCAACCACAGGCTTCTGGGAAGCCCACAAAGAGGGCTTGAATGCTATTTGGTGATGGTAAGAGACTGTCCTGCTGATATGGAAGCCACTAGTGGTCTTCTGTTGCTGTTATCCAGGGATTGGTATTCCGTGTGTCATCCTCCTCCTCCTCCTCATCATCATTTTATATAGCACCCTCAGTGCACATGATGTTTTACATGAGTGGTTTACATTTGTTCCTCCATGTTTACAATCTTACAAAGGTATGCCACACAAGGAAAAAGGGATGGCAGCGGGTAAGAGTGGGGTCTGTCAAGTTTAGGGATTAGTTAGTGCTGTTTAGGAGTTTGAGTGATAAGGAGAGTTAAAGATAGAGAAGAGTTAGAGTCAGGGTTACAGTTAGTCAGGATAGGAATGAGAGAAAGTGTGAGGCATGGGTGTTAGAGTTATGATCATTCAGGATGTATATGTATTGAATAAGTAATCTATGTGGCAGCCACTCACTTATAAACGACAAGGTTGCGAGTTCAGTACTACCCAGGGCTCAGGCTAGACTCAGGCCTGCATCTTTCTGAGGTCGCTAAAATGAGTACCCAGCTGTTGGGTGGTAATGAGCTAGACACCCCATAGTGCAGTATGAAGCGGTATATAAATGAAGCTGCTTTGCTTGCTTTAATAAAACATTATTTTTGTACATTTGAAGCTTTGAGAACACTACATACTGGAAAGCTTGAGTTCAGACATGGGAGATTATCGCATTAATAAATAAGGTGACTTACCTCTTCCAAATTAGGGATGAATAATGGATGTAGCCGGGTATTATTGCATTCCCGACTGCATCCATGCAAAAACCCAGCTAGAATCTACTCTCAACTGGCTGCTGTTCACTTTCGGGAGCTTCCCAATTTGCAAATCGGTCAGCTGAGGGTGGATTCTAGGCAGGTTTTTGCATGGATGCAGTTGGGAGGTGGCAACGGCAGCAGAATCCATACCTGGCTGCATCCAGTATTCATCCCTAATTTGGAAGAGGTAAGTCACCTTATTTATCAATGTGATAATTTCCATGGTGGCTGCAGTGGCAGCAGTTAAGCAAGGATTGTGGTGTCTGGTGTGGAGATAAGACGAATAAAGTATCTCATAGAAACCCACAGTTGGTGGTTAGAGAGGTGGGGCAGAAGATGTCCACACATTGGTGGCAGAGGTGGGGATAAGTGGAAGCCTTCATATTTACTTTTAATACTGCCTTTGAATCTACAGTCACTGTGTGGCCCTGATAATTAACAGGCCCCAGTAGATCCTTATCCTTCATGTGTTTGTCACATCTGTTAAAGCCATGTATGTTAATAGCTTTTCCTTACATCACTCAGTTTATAAATTAATTATGCACTGCCTAAAGAAATAATTTATCTTATTTTTCTGGAATCTAATGCTCATCAATTTCATCTTCAGACATAAGGAGAGGAGAAGATTTTCTCTTTCCCCACTGCTTCCTTTGTCTATATTAGGTGTGGAGAACATTTGA